CACTGGTCAGCCTGGGGACCTAGAATAGGGTTCTCCTCAGACGCCTCTGCAGTCAATATGTGTTGAACAGGGGGACAAAGGAACAAATGAGGTGACATGCTCTCCCACCATTTTTTCAGAAGGTGTTTATAAGATTCCTTGAAGTTACTTGGAAGGGAAGTACAGGATGATCTAAGACAAGGTGCATACATGACTGGATACCCCAGACTACAATATGGTGTTCCTCCAAAGAATCTAATGGGCCATTTTCTCTCCATCTTTTAGATCTTAGTTTAAACATCATTTCTTCCAGGAAGCCTTTCCCAACCCCTCAGTACTAAGTTGAGGGGCCCAGTTCTGTGCTTTCATTGCTCCCTGTTCCTCTGTATTAACACACTTATTCCACACTGTGATGATGATTCTYTTGATTAATGATTTATCCTCCTAGATCAACTGTCAGCTCTGGGAACCAAGGCCAGTCTATCTTGGTCACCAATGAATCCCCAAGATCTAGCACAGTGCCTAGCAACTCTGGCTTTCCATGAACACCTGCTGAATGAATKAATGCTTTAGGCAAACCCCTCAACTTCTCCAAGCCTCCGGTTCCATATAAAATAGGGACTCATAGCACCTCTTTGGAGGATAACTCTAAAGATGAGTTGAAAGCAGTTATTATAGTATCTGACACCAAGTAAGTGTGCAATGAACAGTTGTTTTTCTCTTGTAATTGCTATTAATAGTTATACAAACTCAGGAGATACTGGTCTCTCTTTTCTCCTCCTCCTCCTCCACCTCCTCCTCCTTCTTCATCTTCTTCTTCTTCTTTTTTTTTCCTTCAGTACTGGGGATTAAACCCAGGGGTTCTCTACCACTGAGCTATATATCCCTAGTCCTTTTAAAAGATTTATTCTTGAGATAGGGTCTTAATAATTTGCAAGGCTGGACTTTAACTTGGGATCTTTCTTCCTGAGTTGCTGGAATTATAGGCATGAGCCACCACACCCAGCCTAGCTCTTCTTATCTTTGGTTTTGTTTTAAGTGATCTTTCTAAAATACACATGTAGCTGTGTCTCCCCTGGCTCTGAAAAACCTCAATAATTTGTTCCTAACTTTCTTTTTAGTCCCCATCTCCCATGTTTTCCCCTCACCCCCAATTCCACTTGTACCAAACTACTGACCACTCTGTAATGCACATTTACCCCCTCAACCTCAGCTCAGATCACCCCCTCCTCTTTCTTCAGACCCTGTTCTGTCTTCAAGACACCTCTTAATGTCATCTYCTCTGTCAGGCTCACAAGGCTTCCTCAGCACAATGTACAGCCTGCCTTGTACTTATGAGAATTGAGTGACAGCCCATCTCCCCTGCTAGAAGGAACAGTAGGTACCACCCAGTGTTCAGGTCTGCAACACCAGCAAGCAGCAGTCTGTGACGTGGGAGATAGCTCATTCAAGCAGGAACTATTGAACTGAATTGACCATCTATCTGACCTAAAGAAACAAGTTCCAGATCAAGAATACCTGAAATCTTAYCCTCAAGTATGTCGAAAAGTTGGTTGATGGGGAAAGGAAAGAGCAGGTCTCATGTTCCACTTTTAGGAACTGGCTTCTGAAAGGCTTCTATCCAGCCCCATAGTAAACCTGGGGTAACGACCTTAGCCTACTACAGAAGGTCAGACAGTCAGAGGAACTTCATTGTAGCTCCTCTTACCAGTACCTGGCAGTCAGGGACCCATATCTCTACCCTCCTCTGGCACTGGTGTAAGGGTCTATTAGGGGAACTATTCCAGCATCTTCCACCCAAGATCCAAGACCTTCCCAAGCTCCATTCCATGTCAAATGACTCCTTAGACTGAATGTGAAGACATTAATATGAGTCACTGAGAATACAGGCATGCACCACCATACTCAGTCCTTYAGATCTTAAAACTAGAGAATAATTTTTGCTGAATGCTCTGCCTTCAGAACCCAGTGGGGTGGGGTCACAACCCCTGAAACTTTGTTGTGTAACCCTATGTTCCCCAAGGCTCTGGGCAGTCACTCTCTGGCCTCTTGAAACCAAAGCAATGTCCCTTCCCACCCTTTCAAACTGAGAAGGCAGCCCTAATGATCTCTGAATCTCTTTTGGTTATTCCTCTCCTATCTGGAAGCACAGTGTAGATTTAAGCTGAATCACTGTATGGTTCTGTCCCATAGGATCTAAGAAGTCCACATTCTTCCTTCATTTTTTTTCCTGTCTCCATCCCTTCAGTTCAAACTGAAAGTATATCCGTTGGGGTAGTTGATTACCCTCTAGGTTCACACCCACACTAATCTTATCCAACACTATTGCCACACCCTTGGTGTTCTCTTCTGTACATGGTTTTTAATTTTTTTGCGATATGAACAGTTGAGAATTTTCCAAACCTTTAAGATCTGGTTTCTTTTTAGTTTAACAATTTCTCCYTTCCTCCCTACTTTCTTTCCTTCCTTCTTCAAATTCTGCTATGAGCCATCAGGAGGAACCAAGCCTCTCCTTTAACATTTCGCTTAAATATCTCCTCTGATGAATATCCAATTTCATCTCTTGCAAATTTCTCCTTCCACAAACTATCAGAACATAGGCTGGGAGAGTGGCACAGTGATAGAATGCTCACCTAGCCTGTTCGAAGCCCTGGGTTCAATCCTCAGCACCACATATAAATAAAGAAAAATTGTCTTTTCTCCATTGTCCATACCCCTTGTTTCTGTGTGAGCCCTCATCAGAATTGCCCTTAGTATCCAAATTATTAGCATGCCCCTCAAAACTCCACCAGCCTCTATCCATTATCCAGTTCTAAAATCACTTTCAGAGTGTTCAGTATTTATTACAGCAATGCCCTGCTTCTCAGTACCAGTTTCTGTCTAGAGCAAAATRCCAAAAAGTGAATTAAAAACCAGATATTTATTTCTCAGTTTTGGAAGAAGTATGAGATCAAGGTGCTGACAGATTTAGTTTTAAGCAAGGGCTCTCCTGGCTTACTAAACTGCTTACTATGTTTTCACAGGGCAAAGGGAGAGAGCTTTGATCTCTCTTCCTCTTAATTATAAGGACACTCATCCAATAAGAGGGGCTCCRATCTCATGATCTCATCTAAACCAATTACTCCCCAAATGCCCCACCTCCAAATATCATCACATTAGAGGCTAAGGCTTCAATCTATGAATTTTGAGAGAAAACATTCAGTCCAAAACAATGTCATAGAGGAAAGATTTAAAACACAGGGTATTTGTGTTTGTGGGTATGGCATAACACAAATCTCAGTATAAATGATGAATGTCAATTTTCTGGAGGAAGGCTGTGACAGARGCTGAGGAAGCAGAGGAACTGTGAGAGGGAGGAGGCCCACTCTGCACCGTTAAGGCTGGGCCACAGCACAGGCCTCCYTCAGGCAGGTACACATTCATTCAGCATCTGTTAGGGATAGATATGGTTAGCACTGGGCAAGTGCTAGGGACTCAGAGCTGTGCAGGAGACARTCAATGAATAATTGCATTTTTTCTTGTCTACCAGATATTATGTGTGCTATTTGGTCTGCAACACCCTGCCATTTCCCTGTCCCACTTCCCTGGCTGTTTCTATCCATTTGTTAGGTCCGGGTAGGTGTGACTCCCTTTGRAGCAATTGTTTCCACAAGCCTGGGTTCTGATCCTGTAGGCTCCTACAATGTGGAGTCTCCTGCCTCACAAGCCTTGCCACTCTCAGGATGGCACTCTTGTTTGACTGTCAGTATAAGCACCTAAGCTTCCTGAGGACAAAACTGTGAACCATGGTGTCCCCAGTATCCACTGTGGCCTGCTTCTTTCAGGAGAAAGTATAATTAGTGAGTGAGTGAATGAATGACTGGTCCCTGAACATCAAAGGCATCTGTACACATGTGTACCAATGGTGGTTGGAATCATATGCTTGGGGCTTACAAAACAATAGAGAAGTTCACTGCCATATTCAAACACATATTCATCTGCAGACTAACAACCAGCTATTTCTTGTTCCACTGCTGAGAGAGGAACATACCCCATCATAGTCTTTTTGCTTTCTAAGATTTGCAACTTTCAAAGCTGGGCTCTAGCCAGAAGTATAAAGAGCAACAGTGCTAGATGGCTAGGTTTGAATTTTGGCTTCACCATTGATTAGGTGGTCACCTTGTGCAAGTAACATAGCCTTTCTGTGCCTCAACTTTCCTCACCTGTGAAACATTTTATAAGGTTGTCCTGAGGATTAAATGATAGGAACCTTGTAAAGTTAGAGAGATTGTGAACACACTCTCGTCCCATATAAATCTCAGTTGACTAATATGTAAAATGGGAATGATGATAATGATTGAATGAATGAGAAAGTAAAATTGCATTACAATCTGCATTACAATTTGTGTCCACCAAGTTTGTGGGACAGTGGGCCAAATCATGTGGGGATTCTAGAGCTAGCCATCCAGAGCAGTGTCGCATGGTGAGGACCTTCTCTGTCCAAGAAATTCAGGAACCACTGCCCAACTCAAAACCCGCTAAACGCTTTTCTTTCAGAACCAGGCTGCTGTGGGTTGTCTGAATGGTCAGAACACTCTGATGACCCAGGAAGTCCATGGAAGGATGGAGGGATACCTATAGTAGGAGGTGGGGTGCGTGAGCCTTTGGAAACTGTAGTCTGGAGTCTGGTTATTCCAGGAAAAAATAAAATAAAATAAAACATGTCGCAGAGGAGGCAGCCTCCGCGCGGGGAGCCGGTTATCTCCCAGCCGGCTTCCGGCTCCGATAACTGCTGGCCARGCTCGTCGGGCGGGGTGAGCGCCCCGAAGTGCCCCGGGCCGAGGGAGCCTCTGCTCTGTCCCCGGCGCTTCCGCCGCGATCGGTGCCGGGACTCAGGCTGCGCGTCCAGCCGGGTGAAGAAGTGGAGCGGGGCCTGCCAGCSGGCTCGCCGCGCGCCCTCCACCGGACAAAGTGGCCCAGGGCAGCCGCGAGACCCCAGAGCCCGCCCCGCCCCGTCCCGCCCCGCGCTGCCGCGCGCTTACTCTGCAGACAGTGGGCTGCGACCAGGCAGAGGGCAAAGAGTCCCAGGGAGATGCTTCGGGTCTTCCTCCACCCGCACCGCAGAGGCCTCATGAGCAAGCCCCGGGCAACACAGGCCCGGCATGGGCGTCCCGAGTGGCGGGGCGCAGCGCAGGGCCCGCCGGTGTGTGTTCCGCACTGACGCGCGCCGCTGCAGCTCCTCCCGCAGCCTTCCCTCCTGCTGTAGCTCCAGCAGGTTTTCCAGGACCAGATGCAGATGAGCTGGTTGTACTCTGGTTGAACCAGTTCCCAAGGAGGAGGGAGGGGAAAGAGGGAGGGAGAAGAGGGAGGGGGAAGAGGAAGAGGAGGAGGAGAAGGAGGGAGGGAGGAGAAGGGAGGAGGAGGAGGAGGAAGGGCAGGAGCAATAAGAAGGCACACACTCAGAGGTAAATAATGGCGAATAATGAGCTGCCTTCTGACGTACAGGCGCCACTTTACGGGTATTAAGATCCAGCTAAGATGCTGGTGGATGGAAGGAGGGCAAGTACTAGCTGTTGCCTAAGGACCCAAAGGGACCAACTGATGGCTCCGTGGGAAAAGGAAAGGCTTTTAGGAAAGTGAAATGCCAAGCTGAGGAGAGAGGGATACAGGAAGACTCAGGCTGTTCTGGGTGGTAATGATCTCTGTCCTCCATCCGTGTATCCATCCATTTATTCAGGAAATATTCACTGATCACCTACTTATTTCACTGGGGCTGGTACATGTGGCCATTCTAGTCATTCAGAAAACATGGAATGAAGCTAAGCATGATGCTAAGTCCCAGAGATATAACAGGACAGATATGGGCACTTTTTTTTAGAAATCCTATCAAAGATGGGGATTGGAAAAAAAAAAAAAAGCAACTGTATATGTGGATATATTGCTACAACAATTAGAAAACTCAGAATGCTGTAGAAACTCAGAACAAAAGCAACTAAATTCCAGGAAGGATCTGTGTGTGGAAGGAGAGGGTGGATATTGGTACTAGTCATGAAATTCTATTCTACTTTGTTAAAACTAGATTTCCCAGCCTCCCTTGCATCTAGARGTTAGCAGTATGATCCAATACTGACTGGTGATATTTAAGGGGAAGTATTCTTGAGGAATTTCTGGAAGAGGTTTTGCTTTCCTGAAAAAAGGGACAGATAAGGCTGGGACTGCCCCTGCTTTGAAAATATTCCTTCTCTTTAGATCTGTGGCATGTTTCTTGCTTCTATAAAGTTACATGAATGAGGACAAACACTGTCGATGCTAAGTAAGAATGGTAGAACAGAAAGAAAGACCAGAACACTGTGGTACTATCACGTACTTTCCTATATCCTTTTTGTTTTTAAGAGGTACCTTGCTTATTCCATGTGCTCCTGGTGAGGCCAACAGTAGTGATCCCTGCTGATTGCCCTACAGTGGACTTGTTATCAAAGTGTCCTCTTCACCAAGCAAAGTATTTGGTTTAGTCATGGGCGGAAGGAGACATCAGAAACCTCTCTGTGAGTAATATGAGGCCACTGCTGGGATTGCTAAAACCAAGGGGGCTTGAACCTGGGGATACTGGTGAAAAACCAGCCTCTACTCAGAGCAAAGCCTGTTCAAGGAAGGGACATGACCTTGGAAAGACCACAGAGCACTCTTAGGCACATTCCCACCCTGCTAAGTTGTTTATCTACAAATGAGATCTGCTGTGACAGGTGTCCCTGACTCAGTCAGGCTAGGTGGGGACCCATAGCAACCCCCTAGCAGCCACCAATCAGCATGAGACTGGGAAATACCTGGGATGCCAGATGACCCTCCCAGTAGTTTACGGTGTTGGGAAACCATGCAGTTCAGCACAACACCCCTCTTGGTTTAAACCAATCAGTTCAAATGAATCCCCCTCTTGTACTAACCAATCACCCCCTACCCAACTTGTTCCCACCAGTGWATGTGCTAATCATGTTTTAGAGTTGTTATTTGATTTTCCCGCTGTGTGTGATGGTTTCCTAAGAGATGCTATGATGTATGTGAAGTCCCTGCCTTCTCCAAAGAATGTATAAAACTGCTGCAAACCCTGGGCTCAGGGCCTCTCAGCGTCACCAGTTGCTGTGTGCGCGTGGAGGTAGCTTGCAATAAACACCTCTTTGCTTCTTACATCGATCTTGGGTCTCTGGTGGTCTTTTGGGGGTCCCGAATTTGAGCATAACGCTGGCAGGCCATGCCTGTCATGTGAAGGGGCCCTAGATGAGACAAACTAAGCTGGGAGCCAAGCAGAGATGTAGAGCTCAAATGACATAGTTTTAAGGCTGGGATCTACATTCTTGGGTTTGCCAGTTATCCGCAGATAAATGCTCTCTTTTGCCTCAGCAAATTTAAGTTGGAATTCTATGCTATAAAATTGATGTATCAAAGGATACAAAATTACAGTTAGGAAGAATARGTTCAAGAGGTCTATTGTACAACACAGTGACTATAGTTAATGGTGATTCTGTTACTGCTATTTACTGGTGATGAGTCCTTGCTTCCCCAATGCTGAAGTGTAACACCAAAGAAGCATGCTGAGGCAAGTTTAGAGTGGAAAGTTGAAGCTTTATTAAGGGCAGCAGAAAAGACTTCTCCCTGGAGGAAGAAGGGGACCCAAGAGGTGCAATCTGTGGAAGGGCAAGATCTTCCCTCTTTTGTAGCTAAGGTCTACTTTCAGCTTTCCTGCATTGCTCTCCTTTGTTCTGTTATCTTGCTTGCTGTCCTTTGTTCTATTATCTTGCAGTGATGGAATGTAGGTGAGAAGGCCCAAAGGGTGGGGGACAGGTGGGCCATAGGAGTAATCTGGRCAGGAAGGGCTTTTGGATTAGCATCTCCTTGTTTGCTGGGAGCTGTTTCATTAACATTTCCTTGGGATGGGCTCCATCTTCATCTTACTCAATATTAGACCCGATTTACCTAACTACACTAACTACCTATCTTTAAATCTGGCTTCAATTCTTGAGAAATGTTAAAAAAAGTTGTCACCACAAAAATGATACCAAGGGCTGAAAAAGTAGCTCAATGATAGGCAGCTTACACAACATATGTGAAGCCTGAGTTTGCTCCTCATCACAACAAAAAACAAACATCAACAACAATAAATCTACGTGAGATAATGCATATTTTCATCAGCCAGATTTAACCATATCACAATGTRTATATACTTCAAAACATTATATTGTGGGGAAAGGAAGAATATATTGTGCATGTGAGAGGAATCTAAATTTTTGTGGTCAAAGGACCAACCATGACATTGTATTTTCTGAAAACGTTTGCCAGAACCTCTCCCACACCACAAGTGCTCGTCGCAGAGTGAGTCTGTTACTTCAGTAGAATCCTTGGATCCATATTCCTTATCCTTGGATTTGGATGGCCATGTATTGTGATGAAAGTGAGATGCTGTGACTTCTGAGGCCATCCTTGCCTGGTTCTTTTGGGACACTTGTTCCTGGCATGTTGCTACCATGTCACAAGGAAAGCCACAGAGATCATAGAGAGACCCTTGTTGAAAGAAACTGAGACTCTGGCCCCATCTGAACCTCCACCAATGAGCAGCCATAATGAGGGACTTGAAAGTGGGTCACTGTGTTTGGAGAACACTCATCATAAAGCTGGGTAATTAGGATTTCCTGAGAATTGAGAAATCATTTGAGGACTCATCCAAAATGGCAAAAATGGAAACTTCTGGGAGCTGAGCAGAGTTGTCCCTGTCAAACCTTCCCAAACTGCAGAATTATGAGAAAAATGAATGATTTTGTTATTTCAAATCACTGTTTTGGGGGAATATTGGTCATGTAGCTAGGCAATTAGGATTTCCTGAGACCTGAAAGTTATTTGATGACTCATCAAAATGAAATGAAGGGAAAGAGAGAGGGAAAGAGAGAGGGCGAGAGAGATTTAATTAAATTGTGAGTTTCTTGGAACTAGAGACTGTGAGCCATTCATCTTAGGAGCTAGCACATTGCTGGTACAAGGAAAGATTGGACAAATGTTTGATGGATAAACAAATAATTGCAAGTGCTTCCTAAAGCCCTCCTACATGGAATAAGGAAAACAGAAGTGTCAAAACCTCTTGTTTGACATTCTCAGTTAGTTAGATGGAGTCAGATTTTCTGGGAGTGGGGRCAAAACATGAGTGATGATTTTAGAAAGCTCCCTGAGTGATTTCATTGGCAGTTGAGCGGGAAAGTGACTGCTCTAGACTGGATGCTTGTCACAGTTATGTGCCATGACTCCTAGGCCCAAGATATTAGATGTTTTCTTTAGTGTAAGATTTCAAAGAAGGGAGGAGGGAGACAGCATGAGACTACTTAAAATGTAATTATCTTTATTATATTATTCATTACAAATATATATATATATATWWTATATAATTATTTATATTAATTTATTATATTCATTCAACACGTATGAACTGTCTACAAGGTTCCAGGCATGCAGTAYGTGGATTGAGGCATAGGGGGATGAATGGGGAGGACAAGCTAGAAAAATATTGAGACTAAGGTCTGTATACTGGTACTGAGGATGCCTGTTTTTGCTAAAAAGACATAACTCAGAATTCCCACTGAGTATGAAATATTGGCTGCTTCTTTGCATTCTTTGGTATACTCCATAGCCCTCAGGTGTTTGGTAACTCTTATCATCAGGCAACCACTTTGGAAAAACAACTAGTGTTTATTTTCTCAAAACCTTACAAGCCATCTTTCACTTCCAAGTAAAGTAAATGGTGTGTACCTGTGGTGATATAGCTTCATGACAGCCACATATCCTCAGGCATTTCTCATTTTTGAAGAAAGTCTTGCTTTTAAATATGCTCTTCCATTGTTCCCATAAGAATTTGTAAGACCATATATCCTGCAAAACTGACCATAATATTCAGATACCTGCAAATTCTTACTTCTTTTGTCTTTCTTGAAAATATGCTTATTTATTATAGGATATATGTTATRGTAATAGTTGGGTGGCTGAACTGGGAAGGGATTGTAATTGTATGTTACAATATGGAAAGCCTCTATGAATTTTATCAAGGTTGGTTTCTTTGAGCTGGGCTTCTGTGGTACCATATAGTACTCTAAGACTCT